CAGTATGGAGAGGCTCAGGCAACCGGACGGGCCCTCACCCCTGACGCCACGGACTGGAGGACTGGGAGTAGAGCAAGGCTTCAGGAAGGTAAAGGCATCCTCTGCCAGGGGATTCCCTGCAGGGCAATCCCCAGCCATGAGCCACTATCCTTTTCCAGGTGTCTTTCCCAGATAAGTTCCCGGGACTCTTATCTCCCACTGGGAAGCAGCCCCACATCCCAGCCACAAAGGGGCATCCACTGGGAAGGGTGGCACCATTTTCAGTGGCTCCTTGCCCAAGAGAAGGGATTTTAGAAGACCTAGGAAGCCTTCTGCCCTACCCCTATCCTCTCAGGCAGCCAAAGAGCTGCTGTGAAGGTCTTAGCATAACGCTTGATCTTACCCAGAGCCCAGGGCGGTCTCTGTTTATTGCTGTCTTATTTCCCCAATCCACTCTGGCTGCACAGTTAATGACCCTTATTTTGTTCCCCTTAGCTTTGAGAAAGGCTGATTACATTGAGAAATCAGCACTATGTAAATCTAACATTGTTTACTCATTAAGTCTTTACAGTTGGGATTTTCATATCACCTGGTATCCTTGGTTTAAGTGAACTTTCTAAGCAGCCACACTCCTACCCCAGCACTTGTGAGCGCTTTAGCAGGTAGAAAGAAGCACCAAAAAGCAAAGGAGTGCTTTGAGATGAATACTAGAAGGTAACTGAGGAGGTAGGTGCACAACCACTATCCAGGGAAAAAAAAAAATCTACACTTTTCAGAACTAAAAAGCATTGTGTCCCAAAATTTTAGGGCTAGATACTGCAAACTTAGACGGATAGCACTGGGGTCCAGGTTTTTTTCAAGGAGCTTATTAATTGGTTCTTGTTCACTGCTGCACTCCTGCAGAAACCCTGCAAATGTCTTTAATGTTTTAGGATCATCTGAGAGCTTGTGGTTTAGAAAAGTTTAGACATCAGTTAGACATCATTAGACTTAAACGTCATTAATTCCCCAGGAAGTTCAGAGAGTCTTAAATAATACCTCTCAGTAGCTCCATCCTCAAAAGAATGCATGCCTTTTCTTTTTTTACTGTTTTCCTGTGGAAATAAAATGCCTGACAATAATATACCAGGATTCCCCCTCCCTAGGTGACAAACACTACAGAGATACTAATTTATTGAGTGGCAAAAGCCAAGCCCTTGCTGTTGCATTCCTGTACAAATATCTTCTCATGTTTCTGTTTTTTATTACTAGCATTTATGTAAAATATGAGTTTGAGAGGATGGTCCTTAGATAAAGTCTACTTTCCTGCTAATTATAAACAACTGAGTCACCCTCATAAACAGATTTGTCAGGTTCCTTCTTGGAAACAGTGAGGGCAGGCAGTTCAAGTGCAGTATCACTGATCTAGCACTGCTGCAGTACCCGGCAAACAGATTACCTTTAAGTTGATTTACATTAAACCAGTGGGCTCCACAGGGGAAGCTGGTTAAGGCTGGACGGAGCTGCCTCCACATAATTACCCATTGCCCATGGGAAGGAGAGAGGAGACATCGAGACGAAGGAACGGGGGTGTCTGGCTGAGAACACAATTTCCTGGGTGCAGCGATGCTTTATTCCTTCATTAGGAAGTGAGAAATGGTTCTGCGTCACGGCCATATTGGTACTCATCTTCTAGGTAAGTGTAAGATCAGGAAAGCCTGCCCTGAGTATCTGCTGCTAGACACAGCTGGCACAAAATATTAAGTTGTATCTGGAGACTAAATCCACCAACAGGATTTTTATAGATGATAGAAGAGAAATGCTTGTCTAGACTTATCTCCAGCAGTTTATATTGAAGGTTCAACTTTCCCTACCCCTCAGCAGGGGCGTGCCCTCTAGGCATGAGGACAGGACTTGTAATGCCTCAGCTGTTCCCCAGGCTGCTCTCTAAGTTGCTGAGTTATTCTTTACCAGGATCAAACTAAAAAGACCTGAAATCCAGCATCTAAGCAGTCCAAGTTCAGGTTACACTTCAGCCTTTCAAAACCTGCATGGGAAAATTTGCTAAAGCCATCTTGCACGGAAGCATTGCTGACTTCTTCAGAGTTTTGAGTTAGCAGTGAGTTAAAGCAAACTTATTCATGTTATGCCAACAGAAGCTTTCTAGTATGCTGATGCACTCTGCTGTGGCTTAACTCACAGGAATCAGTGGGAAAGTTGCTCTAACTGTTTCTCCTGGATATGGTCAGTCAGGCAGTCTCAGTCTGGGGAAGTCAGGGAGGTTTCCAGATGAAGAACGAGCTTCCTCTGCTTCATCAGCAGAACAGGCTGAAAGAGCAAGCATGCTCTTTGTTGTGAGGCAGCAGCACCGTTATCGCCATCTGGAGCAGGGATTGGTGACCCTGCCAGAGCAGCATCCTGGGTCTGTGGAGCTGACTAACCCTAAGCCGGGTCTTGCCTAGAGGCTCTTCTCCAGGGCAGGGAGCAGCTATAGAAGGGTGACTACCAGCCACATGAGATGTCTGGAGGGATTTTCCTATAGTCCCTTAGGCAGCAAGCACAGAGTTTTACTCTGTAAGCTCCTTTCTTCCAACAAAACCAAAAAAGAACAGAATTTCCCCTGAATCCTATTTTCCATTGAATCAGAATAAAGTGACTTGTTTTGCTTCCTTGCTGTTCTCCTCAGGTTGAAAGGGAGACTCACATTCTGCCTCTTAATGTGGAAAAGCAATTTTTTCAGATGAGCTTTGGCACAACTCTCCATCTCTAATAGGTGTTTGTTAGTATGAAAAGTCTGCAAGGAAATTTCTGCCATTGCAGTAATTCTCAGGTGAGCTTTGTTTCAGCATCAATACAGCCTTCTAGGGTTAAATAGAGAGCACCAGAGTGAAATAATATGGAACTGAGTCTAATACAGACAATCTTGGATGCTTTTCATGCAGGTTCTTGCTTCCCTGTGGAGTTCTATGGCATATCACCTATGGTAGCTAACGTAACTGCCCAGAAAGGATAGCAGTCTTATTTCCAGGCCTACAAAGAGGCATGTGATTAATACCAGAAGGAACACATCCTTATGCTGTGCTGCAGGGTTTACTTTTTTCCTGCTTAAAAAACAAAACAAAACCCATTAGTAACTAGCCATTCTGCACAAATCACAATCCTGCTCTTCATCACTGGGCTGTATGAGCTGGTGGAGAAGATTTTACCCCTGTTTTTCAAGGGGATAAAAGCCATCTTAGGGAACAGAAGAACCACAGATACAGGCTTGGGTTCAACCAGCACTGAGGAATGCTTTTAATGACAGCCTGCTTTGATAACAGGTTCAAGGAAGGGAGAAGAATTAAAGGTCTGGAGCCTGACAGATTGCAGGGGGAAGGCAGGCAAAATAAAAGAGATGTGGGATGAGCAGCATGTGGGAACAAGAGGCTTTTGTCAGACGAGGGAGCCACAGAGACTTTCCCAGGCCAGGAGCTGTGTTGCTAGTGTCGCTGTTAGATGTCCTTTTATAAAGTTACTACTTCTTGCTCACCTGCAAGTTCTGCACGACAGACTCCTGTGAGCCCCGGGTAGAAGTTGCAGTAATGGCACCAAATCTGCATTGTAAGTTTTGCAGGTCCCTGCTCTCTGGCTGACCAGGGCTTTATTTGAAAGCACGCAGAGGAAAGCACCCCACGCCAGCAGCGTTTAATCTGGCATGGGAGGCTCTTCATCTGGTATGCAATATGACGAGGGTCAGGACATACAGGCAGGGACCAGCACCAGTACACTAACATTTCAGTGTCCTTCACAAGGCTCCTTTGTAGTCTTTGGGCATTGGAAGATTAGATCTATATAAGGAGGCACATCCTATCTCTGCACAAAGCAGTTACAGGCTTGCTGGTGGCATATTTCCCCTTTGCCTCTGCATGTGATGTGGGATTAGTGCATGTGAGGTCATCTCATGCCCTCTTCTGCTCAGTTCAACACCCCATGACCCTTCATCTTCAAGCTCTGCTTGAACCTCCCGCTCTTCTGCAGAGCGCTCCACTTGAGTTTAGTGTTTTTAGGGGAGGAGCTCTGCAAGGAGGAGCCAAGGCAAAGCTTTGACTAGCTGCAAGACAGTGTTATTCACAACCCAGCACTGACAGCTCCCTCCGACAGTGAGGCAGTATCACTTCCTTGAACTCAAGGCTGGAAGAAAGGGAAACGTGCCACCCAGGAGGGTTCACACCGCCTGCCATCTTCCAAGCATATGGCCAACGCTCTGCAGCGACTCTCTTCAAGTCAGGTTTGAGGCCACTGCCATTACTTTGGGACATGCTACCCCACCATCCTGGGCCACCGTGCAGTGTAGCTCCACCCCGAGTGATGTGGAGTCACACTCCATGGTGCAATGGTCATGAGGGCATGAGATTTTATGGGCTTGATCTGCCCAGGGTTTCTTAATCTGTGGTGGAGGAGCATGTGCTCTCTGCTTTCTGTGCTGCTGTCCCCAAGGGTGCTTGAGTCAGGTCCTCTCACTCCTGCTTTTTCACCCTGGTGAGCAACAGGATGACTTGAAGTGTTGCCCATCAGCTCTTGGAATGCCCAGCCATCCCCCTGTCAGTGTCCTTAGCAAGCTGGTAGCAGCATCACCTCCATGCCTGAGTTCACCTCTCCTGGTATAACTTCTAGCAAGGCCCTCATTAAGCATAGAACATCAGCCTAAGCTCTTCACCAGGACTTTGGGGAAGGAGGTGTGCTCAAGAGCAAGGCACTCCCATTGCCATTCACTTTCTTTGACTTGGCCTCTCTTTACAAGATATGTGTCCAATCCAATCTCCTTGTCTACATCCAAGAAGGCCTCTTTCATCAAATTTCTACCTAAAGATCTCCACCCTCTGGTCATAACTGACAGCAGCAGATGGTTTGATATATTAAATTTGATTCAGGATATTAATGGTTTTGTTCTAGTCTATTTTGAAGTTAAACCCCACCTGCCTTACTGGCACCAGTCGGGAGTTGATTCAGGAGGCTCAGCTGATGGAACTGGGATCACTGCAGATGTGTTTTGAACAGAGTTGGTTTCTTTGCAGGGCATGGCACAGAAAGCAATGCCGGGCACCTCCCCGGAGGGGATTCGTCCCACCTACATCTACAAGGTGGTTCTGTTGGGGAGCACATCAGTGGGAAAGTCAAGCCTAGCCTACCGATATGTGAAAAATGACTTCAGGGAGTCGCTGCCGACTGTGGGATGTGAGTGAGTAGCTTCAATAGCTTGATGGCTCTGGACAAGACACCAGGCCTGATGCCTTTCTGTGCAGTAGGGTGGGATGCAGAACAGGTTGGTATATTCTGCAGTAGCACAGACCCACTTTTGAACACAATACAGACTTGACCCAGAGCCAGACCTCCTCCATTGCTGTCACTTTCAGATCTCTGCAGCCCATTTTCCTCAGCACCAGGCTGTAAGCAAAGCCACATCCAAATTGCACAGGTTTGGTCTAGCACTGGTTTTTAGAGTCAGATGAGCAGTGAAATGAGTGAAACCTGGGGTCTGACTGCATGGCCTCATCTGCCCTATGCATGCCTGGTCCTGTGCTGCTCTCAGCTATTCAGACACCCCAGGAGAGTCTCTCCTGTATGTGTGCTGCCCCAGCCACAATGTCCCACTGGAGCAAGGAGGTTTTGGCTGGAGTGCAGAACATGAGAGCCCAGGAGGGGGTGGCCAGCTGCGGCAGGACTCTCCCAGCCCTGCCTAATGGTAGGCTCACAGCAGTGCCTCATTCCTCCAGCCTGCCTGCAGAGAGGAGAGCGCAGATCTCCCCATGTCCTAGCCAGGCTGTGAACCCCATGCTCTGCCCCACTGGCAAAGGGGAGAACATCTGCCCCTGCATGTCCTGTCCTGACAAGCCATGCTGAACAACCCACATCTGAAGGCAGGCCATGTGCATGCTCATGCCTTGATTGAAACCATATGGAGAGCTGCGAGAGCTCTGCTCCATGACCTCCCTTGGGCCAACATACCCACTTGGATCAAGCTACCTCCCTTGTACGTTCTCTTCAGCACAGCTTCCTAGAGTACCTAGATGTTACAGATGTTCATTTTACATGATATACCTAGGTTTTGCCCTAAGGAGGCACAGCAGGCACAGAGGTTGTGGTCCCACCTGGAGCCTGAAGAGCAAACTGGAGAAGAGTGAGGCGCTGCAGCGCTGCTTCCTTTGTCACTCTGCATTGGTTCTGGCTGGTCCACAAGCAGCCATCTGCTACCCTCCAGTGGGAGCCTTTTCTGGTGGATATTCCTATTCACAGCTCTCACAGGTCTGACCTGCCAACAAGGTGGAGGTAGCTCTCTATTTAGGTGCTATTCTGCAAAGCTTAAACCTATCTGACATCAAAACTGGTCTGCATCCACCCAAACCTGCTGCCAGGAAGGGCTCTCAGCCTACCACAGGCTGCCCTGCCTTGTGACGTGCCATCCCATCAACAGTGTCAGTGCTTATGAGAAAACCATCCCAATTTTGTGCATTAGGGCATTGTTACTGGCCCTCGGGATGGGTTTGACCTCATGGCAGCAGATCTGAACTCTCTGTTCTGGCTGCAAGCAGATGTGCAGCCTACATCTTTGCTTGCAGGCTCCTTCTTCACACAGATGCTCAGTCTGGAGGAAGCCACCATCAAGTTTGAGATCTGGGACACGGCAGGCCAGGAGAAGTACCACAGTGTCTGCCACCTCTATTACTGGGGCGCCCACGCTGCTCTTCTCGTTTACGACATCACTAACAAAGTAAGGCAGGGGATGCTGATCCCATCTGTGCCGAAACTATGCCATGCTGCAGCAGCACTGGTGGGGTAGAGGTGTCCAGATGATGGTGTTTGTCCTTGGTAGAGCAGAAAGCAGTACATGAGCACTGCCTGAGAAGATAAACGTCCTACCTGGGATGTGCCAGGTGCTGTCCCTGCCCATGCAGGACCATGCCACCACTCCAGGGGTGATTTCTGCTGCCATGCTGACAGGGTACATCCCATCCAAGGCTGATTTATCCCTAAAGGTATTTGAGGGCCAGTGACCTGTTTCCCTGAGAGAGAAGGCAATCAAAACCTCCTTACCACATCTCTTCCATCCCCTTTTGTCTGGTGCCACCTGTCTAGCTTTCCTATGCCCGAGACAAAGGGATTCAATCAATACCATATCACTGGGTAATTTTCTCTCCTTCTCTCCAGGAAACGTTCAACAGAGCAAAGCTGTGGCTGAGGGACCTGGAGAAGGAATTCCTTCCTGATGAAATCGTCATTGCTTTGGTGGGCAACAAGATGGACCTTGCTGCTGAGCGAGAAGTTGCCACTGAGGTGAGCACCTGTGATGAGCTCCCAGGCCCCCTCATTACCCCCTCACACCAGCAAGCACTGGGATATGTCCTAGCAAATCCAAGAATTTAAAAGGCTTTCAGATACCTTCAAAGTCCTCGTACAATTACTGACCTGCCATGAAATGCCACCATTAGACTAGGGGAATAACTCTGCTTGTCTCCACGTAGGAGGGGGAAGAGTTTGCAAGGACCAAAGGCCTTCTGTTCATGGAGACGTCTGCAAAATCCAACCACCAAGTAAATGATATCTTTATGGCCATAGGTGAGTTGTGTGACAGCTCTGGGTGAGGGCAGAGGTGGGTGAACCACAAGCCTCAAACCTGTGCGTCAAGGCTGTCAGTGCCTTCCCCCTAGCAGAGCTGACCTTTCATTGCTTGTGCTTGCCACTGAGGTCTTCCCAGCCAGGAAGCTGCAAGGGTCACAGCCACAGCAGTCCATGGATTCTGTGAAACGTGCCACATCTCTTGGTGCAGAAAGATGTACAGATCCATCCCAGGATGCTCCAACATCAGAGAGGGATTTCAGACCCTCTCCCAAAGCCAAAAGTTCCTTTTACTTTAGTATCTAGGTGTAATGGTGTCCAGACTGTAAATGTTCAGTAAAGGTCTAATGCAGTCACCATGAGATGGTACCAGTGGCCATCAGTGTCTCCCCTGGGGTGGGTTGGGACAGCCATCATATCCCACTCCACCGGCAGGAGAAATGAGCCCTTTCTCACATTGTGTTTCTTCCTAGTGCAAGAGCTCCTGCAGCGGAAACGAGAGGAGGCACCCAATCATCGGCTGTTAACAGTCAACCTGGAGGAGAGCAGGACAGGCACAGGGTGCTGCTGACCCTGAGGACGGGCAGCTCTGGACCTCAGCAGTGGCTGGATGAGGTCTCCAAGAGGAGCAGGGGGACACATAAGCAGAGGGGCAGCTCAGCTCAACCACCCTCCCCCATGGAGTTTGGTTAGAGCCCATTCTGGGAGCATGGGGCCTCTTCAACTCTGCAGCACTGGCTTCATCCAAGAGGTAAAGCACAGAGGTTGCTTTCTCCAACTTTCCTCTTCCAGAGAGGAGTGCGACCTGCCAGCCCTGACCAGTGACATCCCCATATCCCAGCTGCGTGCCTCCTCCTCCATGTCCCTTCCCATGTGAAAAGGGGGATTTAACCTTGCAGATTGAAGCAGGTACATCCCGGTGGCTTTACACCCAGGCTGCAAATAAAGAGAATATTGCTCTAAAGCCTTTTTTTTTTTTTTTTCCTGACCTGAATGTCAGCCTGCAGGTGGGGACCACAGGAAGCCTGGATGTGGCAGGGACAGGACCTGGTGCTCCCCTCATCCCACCAACCCCCACCCAACCCATTACAGGGGTCACAGCCCATTCTTTGGAGAAATCACTGATTTATTGCCAATGTAAGAGCCAAAGAAAATGTGCACATTATGAATTACACTGCAGGAATGCACCTTGGCTGAAACAGGAGAGGGGAAAAAAGCACCTGGGCTCTCTCCAGAAGCATGCTGGTGCCCAGCAAACAGGGGGTATATAAGACTCAGGGAATATGTTGTCCTTTCTGGGAGAGCTGTGGCAACACAGGCACAGCCATGGGCAAAGAGCATCACCACTTACCCTGTCTGCAGGTCAATGTAACAGCTGAGTTTTTGTGGCATGCCCTGATAACAACATCAGCTTTGGGGCAAGGCTTGGCCAGGCTGCACTTGGCTGCTAGGCTGCGCTTGGTCACAAGGCAGCAGACACCCTTGAGGATGTTGTCCATGGAGAATAGGAGACCATACCACCCTTTTCTGAGGTTTTCCAGGTCAGGTCCCCGCAAGGGCCTCCCCTCAGCACCCCACATCAGCTGGGGACACCCACCTGCGATGCTTCCCCAGTGCTGAGCCACCATGTTCTTTCTCAGCAAAAAAAGCAGATTTACTGCCTTCTCTTGCCTAAATCTCCTTCATTAGGGCAGCTGGGAGACATTGGGTGCTAATTGTCACTCATCCCCCTCTGGCATCTGCCCCCTTCCTCCCAAGATTAACCTTTCCCTACCCAAACAGCCCTACACTCTCAATGCTGGGGCAGGAGCCACAGACAGGGATGCTGAGGATCACCCTTCTCTGTAGTCGCTCTTTCCCCAAAAGTGGAGAAGTTTTAGAATGATCTGGCTTGGGGACACAGCTTGTGAGGGGACAGCATGATGGATAAGGCCCCACGTGCTCCCCAAGGGTTTCTGAGGCTGTGGAAATGGGGTGGCTGTTTCTGACCCCATGGAAATGAAGGTGTTGGGGGCACTCATGGGTGCCAGCATGCTGTGGAGACCCCAGGGGATGAACCTGGGAAGGGGGGGGGGCCTCTGGAACTTATTTTTAGGGTGTTTTGTGGGGTGTGGGGGATAAACATGCTGTGTTGCGCAGAGGGAAGCACTGCCACACTGCACACGCTACCAGGGCAGGCTGCAAAATCATGGTCAGACCAACAATTTCTGGGGTCTCCCCCCTGTCCCCCCCCCCGCTGCGTTTCAGAGCAGAGAGGCTGGGACACGGGGATGAGAGGCGAAGGGCTTTTATTGTCAACTTCAGCTCAGGGGCTCCGCTCCTCCCGGGGAGGCTGGGGG